GTTTGAGAGCGAGGGGGAGAGGAATGGGGGATCACACTTCAAGAAATTCAGCCCAGCGTCCGACCCGGGACCAGAAACTAATGGGGGGCAGGGGAGAACCTAAATGCTGGCCTGGCCACCCGGCGGGCGGGCCGAGTCTGCCCGCAAATCCGGACCCGGTCCGGTCCTTCTCTGGTCCCTTTCCGGTCCGGTCCCATTGCGGTCTCTCCGTCGATGTCCCAATAGCGACGCGCTCCCCAGCCGAGGTGGCCGGTCTGTCTGCCTGCTGCGGCGCGCAGACAGGGCCGGATCGTTGCGCCGGATGGGTCCGCTTCTCACCTCTGCCAAAAAGGTGCCGAATGAAGCGGGCGGACCATCCGCCCGTCTCCGGGCTCGGTCCGGGCGACCACCCGGCCCATCGACGAAGAGACGGGCCGGGCCGGGCGCTCTGGCGGCGAGCGCTCGGTGCTGCCGGGCGGAGGCCGCCCGCCCATCGCAGAACTCTGGCGCGGCGCCGCAGCCTCACCGTGCTGTGACGCCTCTACACATCATTCCGCTCCCCGTGATACCACACTGTGATCACAATGTGGCCACGCCCGTCGTCATCTTCGTCTCCTCCTCCTCCAGTTCTACATCCATCCCGATGACGAGGAGGTACAGTCCGGTAATCATGCTGTCTGGGCCGCCGGCCGCCGCTTGCCCTTTGCTGACCCGTGACCGTGACGGATGAGACGGGCGAAGCGTGGCGTGGCGTGGCCTGAGTGGGGAGGGTGTCAAAAACAAGACCAACTCGGGGCCTCCTAATCGACCACGTACGTCCGAAAGAAGAAGGAGAGAGACTAGGATGTCACGTTTGAAGCACACACACACAGAGAGAGAGAGACTCCAACCCAATCAAACGAACCAGAAAGAAAATACAGCAAAGTCTATAGAGAAAGCCACCTGAAAATCGTACGCGAAATGCACAGTGGCAGCAGCAGCGGCAAGGTAATTGGGGGGTGAGGCTGATGATCGAAACGGTTTGCTTTGAATTTATTTTTTATCTCCCCCCCCCCTCTCTCACTCTCTCTCTCGCACCCGCAGCCGCGCACGACGGACTCGCGCACTGGGCGCATCCGCCCGCTAACAACATCAAAGCGCCTATCCCCCACTCTCTTTCTCAGACACACACAAACACACACACACACTCGTGCGGGAGCGCGCACCCCTAGAGGAATTAGTTTGGGACAGCTATGATTACGAGGATGCGTGGAAAGGGTTAATCCTCGCCATGACGGGTGGGGCCGACCAAGCCGGGCCCCTGGGAGCGACGGGCGAGCGAGCGAGAGAGCGAGAGAGAGCGAGAGAGACATGTGCAATGTGGGACCGTGTGAGAGCTGGTAGACCAAACTCTCGCTTGCCTCTGCAATTCTGCTGCGGTAAACTTGAAAGGGGGAGAAAAAAGGTAAATTCTAAAGTTATTCTACCCTCACCCCCTCTATCTCCGCCTCTCTCTCTCTCTAAAATTATGTGAGAGAGAAAAATTAGTCCAGTGAGCGTTGGTGCCGTGGGCTGGGCATAACGCTTGGTAGGCCTCTGCCGCCTCTGCCTCTTCAGCGACTCTAGTCACGCCCCAGCCGCGTCCTGCGTGCTCTGGGAGAGAGGGCGAGGGGGAAGGGGGGAAGGGGGGGAAAGGGTTGGCCGCACTGACCAGCCTGCAGACTGCTGGCTACTTCCGGAGGGTAATTTGAGATGACGGTCCTGTCACGACGGCGCGTCGGCGCGGCGGCCGGAGGCTGCGGGTCTAGGCCAGGCATGGCTTGGCGTGGCAGGGTCCAGTGTTCGGATGTCGGGCTAAATGTGGGAACAGGAGCACCCATGCCCCGTGCTGCTGGACGATACCTGAGACGATACTTCTACGTTATTGACATTATTCGGGCTGTGATGATGACGGCTCTCTTCCATCGCCGCCCTCTTTCTGTCCATGTTTCTCTCTCTCCCTCCCCACGAGGCAGGTAGGTAAGCCCCTTCGGGAGCAAGAGGGGAATGACCGCGCCGTCTCCATGGCGACAAAAACCACCTCCGGCCGCTATAGCGATAAGCTCCCCACTGATGATGAGCAGGCCTCGGCCTCAGCCTCGGCCTCAGCCTCGGCCGCTAAACGGCGGCGGCGGTGACCCCTCATCGGCCCCGGCCGCGGCCCGCGCGCGGTGTTGTGTAAGCTCCTTAGGCTCACGGAATTAATTCACGTGTGGTCAGCAGCATCGGGACGTTAAGAGAGAG